TATTTTATTATATCATGGCAATCAAATAACCTCTATATGGTCTTTCTAGTTCACAGTGGGCCAGCATTTCAGTCAGACTATGCCTTTTTAAGGGAAAGCGAGGTTAGAGAGTGGATAGAGAAACAGGGCAAGAAAACTCTGCAAAAGTACTGGGTGAGATATTTCTGTGTGCAGCTGGCAGGAGGGAGGGGAGGGTACAGCTGGTGTTGCTGCTTCACAAAATGAGGGCATGGATTTATTTGGTAACTTTTTTTTTTTTTTTTTTTTTTTTAGGACTCACCCTAGGGAAATTAGGTAATAGCCAGCACAAGAGCTCTCCTCGGTGCACAAATCTTTGAGGATAATACAGAATATTTATAGCCTGAATGATGGAGTCTTTGGGCTTGAGCATCCTGTTAGTGCACATTGAAGGACGACCAAATTTACTTTAGGGCTACAAGGATTGTTAGCAGCAAACCTTAGCAACTTACTTTGCTAACGAGGAAAGCTGGAAGCTTTAACCTGTTTTCAGTGAATGTCTTTCACTTTATAACTCACAAAATACTATAAAGACACTCAGTAGAATTGACAGTTCCTTTCTAGATTAGTGTCACAGGTGTATTTTGTTAAATCTAGAAAGGCAGAAGAACTCAAAACTTGGTTTTGGATGCTCAAGAGAAATGAAGTACTGCAGAAAACAGGCTAGTCAAAAAGTGACTGTAAAGACACTAATGTCAGATTAATAAATAATAAGCAACTCAGACTTGAAGGTGACGCTGTTTTCTACAATCCCTTTAAGAGTTTGGAATAGCTCCAGGCCACCTTATTATGCTTATTTACTTAAACAGAATTCCAGCACTTTATTTCAGGTGAAACACAGATGTCTCCTATACCTAAGTATCATTTTCTCAGAGGGGAAATGCAGGTATTAACAAAAGTAATTTGTCTCAAGTTTTATTTTCACTGACCATACGTTGGAAGAATCCCTTCAAGTTTCTTTGTTAAATGGGAATTCAACAAACAGATGGAACAGATTTCACAATAAGCACAATAACCACGTCAGGTGTTGTTGCACCTTTTACCTGACAAGTCAAAACTGTAAGACATGCTAAGAGGCCGCATTGCTGTAAAAAAAAGAAACAAACACACAAACAAAAAAACAACAAAAAGAAAATAATTCAGCTGTTAGAAAAGCAGAGAGGTAATGAAAACAAAAGATTAACTCCACTTGAGGCATTTTGGATTCTGTTGCCTAAATCCAAAATTTGTCAGACATACTATTGCTTTACTGGAGTAAAGCCTGAAGTCTGAAAACTACAGTAGCATAAATGGGACTTGCAAACAGAGCAAGCATAAAGATATTTGTAGAGTTATAAAGATATTTGTAGAGTTATAGAACTAGATTTTTGGAAATCAATAAATCAAATACCAAAACAAGAGGCAAGGATCTTAAAACCACAGTATTTTCAAATAAAATGCCATGAAGAAAGAATGGGGAAGAGAAAAAGAGAAAAAGGACAGAAAGAGAGAGAAAAAAAAAGTTGAAAGTACAAAGCCACATTTCACACAAGTTTCAGTGACCTGAAATAAATATTTCTAATTTTTTTAAGCATAATCTCCAATGATTATAATTAAACTAATAAAGAGAGACACTCAAGCTAAGCTTGAGCATTTCTTTCCTTGAACAAGAAAAAAAAAAGGCCTAACAGTATGATTTGTGCTGATTCTTGTTCTTTAAAAACAAAAAACAACAAAACTTAGGTGAATTTAGCCTTTACAATGTATCCTTAATATTAACCTCTCCTTTTAGGGCCACTAGCCATTTTATCCCTAGACAAGAAAGTGGTCAGGTGCTCTTTATTTCTAGAAAGTTTACATAACCAATAGCTTCGTTCCTTGCCAGCTTAATAACAACAAAATCGCATAGGAAAATAAAAGCTCTGGATAGAAGAAAATCACATGGCATAGCTGTTGAACATTCCTCCGGGCCTTTGGTCTGCCCATGATCCTAGCTCCAAACGCACACAAACCTCTGCTGTGTTCAACCTACCCACATTTCGAGCTGTGCAGTGTAATTCGGGGAGTAGACGCTCGACATATTCTCAACTGAAACCAAAATTTCGGCATACTAATCCAGATAAGCAGGCAAGGCCCAACTACCAGAATGTACCATGACACATGAAAACTGACATCAGCTTACCTGTGATACCTGTGGCTGATAAACATGCAGCGTTGGTATGAAAGGGTCCTCTATGTGAAAACAGGTTGAAAAAGCATTGTACTGGGACACTTTTGCTCATGAGAGCAAATTTAGGTGGGGAGCACAGTAGGTGGCTGACGCTGAGACAAATTTGGGAGTCAGGGCATTTCTCCTGTAGTTTATTAGCTAGACAACATCAGCCACCTACTACACCCACCTAGTTTATTAGCTAGACAACACAGCCACATACTGTTCAGAGCAGAACAGTATCTAAACTGCTGTCCAAACTTAACATAAAGGCAAATGCATTTTAAAGCACAGGGTTGTTATCACCTAATGCTGCGTCCCAACTGAAGGTTAATAAAACAAGAGCATGAAACAAAGTTTTCTCCAAACTCCATTAGCTCAACTTGAGTCATAAATCCATACTTTTAATTAAAAGGGGATGTACCTCAAGGCTGTGTTTGCCTTGATAGTTTATTCTGATGATCCGCTGAGCTTGTCTGAAAACTGATTCAAATTCTTCAACCCAGTGTCTCCCTCTGTAAGTGCAGCTAACAAGATTAAATTGCCATTTCCAAAGAAGTTTTGGTTTAACAGCAGCCAGCCCTGGGCCAGCCACACAGCCCACCAGCAAGGCTCAGGGGCTGGCACTTTGCTTCCAGCTTCTCCCTTTGCTTGATGGTGACTTGGGATGGAGCAGATCTCACCTGTACGTGTGGGTTGTGCAAAGCAAGGAGTCAAAGCTGGGAAGCCACAGGTCCACTCATATTGCAGAGACTATTCAAATGTAGCTTTATGCTTTACTGCTATAAACTGGGCAACACTGAGTAACTCTGGGATGTGTGGAGTGTACCACATACTCCCAAATTTTTCATTATAAAGCTCCTTTTTTTCTTTTCTTTTTAATAGCAACAAATATTTCTGTCCAAATGGTACAAGTGTCCCGCACCGTGCTTCTCCTTAGATTTACAATCCTTAAATCTTTTTGCCTTACATTTTGCTACACTAAATTACATTCAGTGGTCACCTAAACTATATGGTAGATCTATTGGTATCATATTGAAGGTTACTAGCATTATTCTGTCCCCAGTTCTGCACAAACACATTGTATTCTAAAAGGAACTTTGGGCAAAACAATCATTTCAATGTGACAAAACCCCAAGCCTCATATTTCAACATAAGAAGCAATTATCTTCAAGATCCTGGCTCTTTTTTTCTTCTGCATGCCAGCAACAAATAAAAATATATATGATTCCACATTAAAAAAATAAAATCTTCAACACTATGGTTGGGAAGTAAAACTCACATCCCCTTTTACACCTCCAGTAATATGACATTTAACCCAAACATTTCACTGGACTGAAGGGGAATTATCACAATTCCCAAGTTTAAAAAAAAAGAATTCTCTTAAAAAAGAAGAATTGCTGGAAGACAGGTATCCTTTACTGAAAGACATACCCTAAAATCAGTCCAGGAAGTCCTAACCAGTAATACTCCAAAATCTAAGATTGTTTTTAGAAACTGTTTACTAAATGGGTTTGATGCAATTTGTATCAGTTAAAAATTGTAAAAATTTATTAGATCAAATTTGCTGCCCCTTACAGGACATGATAGTTTCCAAATGGAGAACGTGTAAAATACTGAAGTTTAATGTTCAAAAGAAAAGCAAAGAATTGTTCCATGTTTCTACAAACTTCCTACATTTGGAAAAATGTCTAGGGCTATTAGAATCATTAGTTGATACAGCAAGCATAAACTGAATCAAAACCAGAAGCTGGAAGGCCCAAAGAAACAATATTCAAAGCACCATGCATTTTAAAATGCACCCAAGCATTCACCAAACTTTACAACGTATTCTATTAAAGAACAATGCAACAGAACAGCTAATGAAACTGTTTTCTTCTAGAGAGAATGAATGGGTTGTCACAATCCACTTGCATCAGTGCCTTTAAGCACATGTGGCAGGCACAAATATTCTGCAAAAGCAACAACAGAGCACACACGTGGATTATTTCATGCTTTTTCAACCATAAGATGCCACTTTTGCTCTTCAAAAATCAAGCTACTTCAGTTTTCCTAATGCAGATTAAATACCATGCTTTTAAAGTAAAGTATGCCACAATGTAAGGCTGCATTTGTCACGCTTTTGTCAATGTCAGAACCATTGCACTAAGGCGAATTGCTGATCATTGCAAAGTGTAATATTGGTATAATTTCATAGTGGGTTGTTGAATGTACACTGCAGAAACTAACAGATTTGCAGCAAAGGTCTAAATTATTTGATCAACTGAAAACATATACAAGCACATGCTCCATAACTTGTAATATGAAGCAAAGATTCAGATTCAAAATAGAAGCAATACTTTCAACAAACAAAATCAAAGCAGATTTTCACGTAAAATAATAAAATAATTGATGATGCTAGCAACAGGAAATGAAGAGAAAAAAAATTAAGGACAGACATGTAAAGAATACTTACAGATACGTAAGAGATATTGCACTGGGGAGAACTAATATCCATTCCAGTCTGAGCAAATCTAACATCTAACGAGCAATCTAATGTCATTAAATTTATCTAATGCTTACATTAAAAGCAAGATGGGATCAAGTTGAATCATACAGTACCTTATTTTGAAAATAATTTAGCACAAAGACTACACAGCCCTAGCAAAGCCATTAGGTTTATGCTCTCTTCATCTGAACGGGTAAAAATAATTTTTATCTTCAGTGACATCTGCATAGATATTGCTAATATTGCTGCTCCCTATGTGGGAATTTTTCTGTGAATGCTGCTGGTAAAAACTTGGAATGGACTTACCCAGCCTGCTACGCCTGATCTCATCAGGTGAGACTGGACGCAACTTCCTCTCTGCCTTGATTTCCTCCAATATCCTCTCGTGAAGGCTGCGTGGCCGTGGTGGGGTTGGTTTCAGTTTTCTTGCAGAGGCCTTGGTATATACAGATAATTAGATTTACATAAAACAGTTTTCCCTTGAAAGCAGATGTCACATTGGGGGGAGGGGGGAACAACACAATAAAATGTGGCATGTTGTGATAGGATTTTATGTGCACTCATTTGTAAAACTCACAGAAAACAGAAGGAGAAATGCATTTTTCCGTGACTCAGAGATAAAGGGCTGCTGGTAAGAACAGCTATTGGCAGCTGCAAGGCATCACACACTGTTCTTCAAGAGACCACATTCTATATACATAGATCAATATTTCTGAAAGACCGTGTCAGAAAATATAATACTTAACACATTCCCTGAACACAGACATTTTTTAAAACGACACATTTTCGTTAGGAAAAAAGTACGCTGGATTACATACAGGATTTAATGGAGGTCGTGATCGGATGAAATCCAGGATTATTTCATGGGCACTCTTTTTTAATCGAGGTGGAATGTCACCGTTGACCTGAAAAGGAGAAAGGGAAACACACATGTCTTGCATTGATACTCATGCAGATGACAAAAAGAAAACCTGCAACATCCCTGGCAGAGCCTGCAGAGTTCTGACACCTGCACTTGATGTAAAATCCCAACAGTCCTGAACAGAACAACGATCTGTATGCACAGCACAGGCAAGCAAAGACTTAAGGGAAAGCTTTTCAGCTTTGCAGATAGCTCCAGAATAACCACAGTTCCAGCAGCATCAATCAGTGGTACTTAGGATTTTGAAATGATGGAATTAAGTCTCAAGGCTGCAACCATGTGTATGGGAGAATGCAGACAAAGCTCGTATCTCGTTTGGAGGAAAAGGTGCCAGGACCATTTCTTCAGGAACATCTATTTGAACCATGGCTTTCTGCCAACCATTACACAGTCTCTAACAGCCTGCTCTTAGGTTTTGAGCCCAGTTTTCTGATCTGCTTAACATCTCTCAAACTCTGATATGAAAGAAAGCACTGCACCAGGACTATCACCAACGATTTGCTTTTAGCAATGGATGAAAGATAAGCTCCCCTTGTTTTTTGTCAGAGGTTGGACAAGGTGATCTTGGAGGTCTCTTCCAACCTAGATGATTCTGTGATTTTGTAACCTGTCTCTGCTGTTCTGGCCATGACGAGGTGCCCTGGTGTAGAAATCCCAGCAGAAGGAGAGAAAACCCCTGGGCATGGCTTTATAGACACCTCTTCACCTGCACTTCAGTAAGTTACTCAAGAGTAAAGCAGAATTAGCCAATATGTCCAGAAAGTCAAGTTGCTAGACTGCCATGGCATGACACTGAGAGTACAGGGAGGGACCAGAGGAGGGGCTGGGTGGGAGTTGTTCTTGTTTGCTTGCTTTTATCTGAAGAGACAGACATTTCTTCCTCAGGTATCTCGTTCTGAAGGTAAGACCATACACAGCACATCACAGGAAACAGCCAACAATTCCCTACATGCACAGAATATAAACAGGGCGACGGGAGCTTTCCCATCATCTGAAGAATTTATGAATTGTAAGCTGGGAATAATTGTATGGATTTGCTTAAGAAATCCATCTGTCGGGTTCAGCCTGTGTGGCACAGTGCCCAAGCACACTGTCAGAGAGCATCCTATGCCATACATCTTTCTGGCACCTTTTCTTACCACACAGTACCTGGCTATCAGCCCCATCCTCCAATTCAAAAGAAATTTTACATCCCCACGTGGTCACTGGAGCATGAACCCTCACTGAACTTCACTAATACCACGCAGCTCCCACATAAACTCTGCTGACCTGGGACGTGCCCTGTTTCTGGGCTGAGGCAGAGCGACAGCCTCCCATCGAAGGCTCATCCCTTCCCTGAAATGGGATCAGATGCCGAGTGCCTTCAGGGGAACATTTCATTGCTTCCTTTGGGACTCTTTCTGGAGGTATCCTACCTACGTGGTCTGATTTCCATTTGTTCCCCACCACATTAGCTTCCTCAGAGGGAACTTGATGCAGCGTGGCACAGAATACCAAGCTGCTACACCACGTGGCGTGACATCTTCCTAGAAACAGTACGGAAAAATTAAAAGGGGAAAGATTTATATTAAATGGTGATTTGGCATTTTATGGTAAGCAGAAAATTATTTTAAGTGATGTGATTGATTTCTCCTGTTTAGAGACTGAGCAGTTCTTCAAGGCCAGCGTGGTTTGCAGGATCCTTAATGAAATGGTGAGTCTCTCATCCCCAGGTTACTGCTCATCAGATGTCAAGGCTGATAGCTTAAGTTGTGAGCTATTAGCATCAGAACAGCCATTTTGTACGCTGATAATCTCAATTCCAGCCTTGGGGAGCAGCTCTCTGCACCACGCTAGGAAATAAATAATACATGGCTCTGAGCCTTTCACCTCAGGGCACTCTCTGCACTGACTTAATGCCACCAGAGTGTAATTAGTATCACTATTTCCATTGGATTGGAAAAGGGGAAAAGTAAGGTTTGCTTAAGTGATTTTCCACAGGGTGCTGAGGAAGCTGGTGGCAAAGCAAGTGGATGTTTATCAGTTGCTTCAGCCAAGAATCCAGGATAGGGAGCGCCAGCAGAAGCTCCCTGCTCATACTCGGCTCCCAGACAAGATGTTGACAGGAAAGACACTGAAGGGAAGCTTTTATCTTCTCCGTCCATGCTAGATCTATTTCTTCACTCAAACCGACTCTCCCTGTAATGAGCAATTTAACATGCATCTTTTAATTAATTAATTAAAATTCATGGCTCAATTAGAGTCTAAATCAGAGCTGCATTGCACAGATGCAGCCGCGGCACATGCAGAACACAAGCAAAATGTTCTTGGTGCTCAAATACCACACTGCCCTGAACTGCAAACCAGTACCTGAATAAATACCTCAAAACACTGTAATGCTGTCCTAAATCTTCATGTGTATAAAATGGCTTTTGTACAGCAGTATGCATTAAAACTGGTCAGGTAGGAAAAGCATAGTCAATGATTACAAAAATCAGCCAGAAATTTAGAGATCTGAACAGCTACAGCACAGAGAAATTACCACATAATCCTTGCTTCCATCAAATTTTAGTACATAAATAGAGCCTTGCAGTTAAAATAATAACTTCAAATGGTACTTGGTGACCTGTGCACGACTCACAAGAGCTATGCCACTTATCACTGACATTCACCTATCTCAGCCATTTATTTTTCACACTATAAAAGGTGACAGTATTAAGTAGAAGAGTCCTATCTCTTATTAACTGATAAAATAAAACTGATGGTTTCGTGCCATCCAGAAATTTTCACTTGAGATGAAATTGCGAAGGCTGACATCATCAGAGGGGATGTGCTACATCATTCCCAAAACAGCCCATGATACAGTCCGGCTGTGAATTCAAGCACTGTAAGTAGATATATATGCATTTGTCAAATTTCGTTATGCAGACTGTGTAGTGCTTTAGTTGTCACCTTGTTGTTACACGGTGCATAGCAATTTTCTGACTTAGCTCCATGCAGAAAGGTCAAGCAGCAGTGTCTGTTCTTTGATACTGCACATTGTAAACCACTGTATTCGTGCTGCTGCACCTGCACGTCTATTACAGATACAAGTTTATGATCCCATATAATAATTGTGGTACTCACACAGAGCCACTACTTCCTTGGGTAGCCCTAAAGCATGATTAAGAACTGTAAAGCTCGCTGCTATACCTAGGATTTCTGGGAGTGTTTTGTAGGAGAAAAAAAAAAACAAAAAACCATTAAAGCTGCTAAAGCAAACATGCCAGGATTACAAAATGCCAGGATGAAAGTCATCTTGTTCCCATGACAACCACGGAAACAAAGACTCCTGCATCAGGGGGACGGAGAGATGACAAATTTGAAATTATTTTCGTATCGACTAAAATAGAAATGCAGAGGTCACTGAAACTAGTGAAACCAGTTATTTGCAAAAAGCCCAGAATGTGACATTTTTACATCAAGACATTTTGAAGGATTGCCCTATGACAGAAGACTTGTGAGAACAGACAGCTCCCATTATTGGGATCTGTTAACACTGCTGACAGTCTAAAACACCAAAATAGTTCCTAAGTGATGCACCTAACAGGAACATCTGTTCCTTTCCTAATTTTTACTAGGAATACCGAGCAGTCAGGGACAGATCGAGATACTCTTTTAAACACAGCATTACATTCGTAAAAAGAAGAGCAAAGCCTTTATCTAACATTTTATTTACTTGAAAACGATCTACCTCCTGTTACCTTCAGTGGCAGGCATTTTCACAAGCCGTCAGTTCTAAAAATACCACCCATAACTTTAAAGCAACAAAATGTTTTTAATAAAGATTTTGCCAAACATCTGCTTTGGCTGATAGAAAGAAACATAATCCATCTTTCCCAGGCTGCTTTAAAATTCAGATTTAGGACTCTTGTCATTTCCTCCTCTTCTCAAGAAGCATGACAGTTCTCTCTGACGGGAATATATATAATTAGCTCTGACCCATAAAAGTCAGCTAAACGATGCTGTATTTATGACATCTAACCAAACTTGTAATTCTGTATGAATCCTCCAGGCTCCACACATTTCATATCAAACCGCCTTCTATTGGGCATATTTGGCACATTCTTCAGGCAGACCCTGCAGCAGAATCCAAATTACTGGATGGAAGGTTTATTATAAGGAAAAAAAAGTTAGTTTTCTAACACACAGTCACCAGCAGCTGTCAGATAAGGCCAACAATTGCATCAGAGACAGCACTACAGGTCTTGTACCTACAGCTGATCATAATCCCAATTCACGTTTATGCCCAGAGGTCATTTTGGACAATCAACCTAGATAGCAGGACAAAAATAGATGTTTTCAGGGATTTTGCATATGGCAAGAGTCTGGATGAAGAGGAGAGCAGCTGTGCCTCCAAGACCTACAACATAATGAAGAAAATCTCTTCAGAAGAGGCAGGAGCTCGCTCAACAGAAGATGAATTAAAGCCCAGCTTGCCAAAAGCAAAATCAGATCACCCAAGGGTACCTATTCAGATGAAACTACTATCCTGATTGCATACAGTAAGCAAGGTCCTGAGGTGACTTTTGCAGTGGATAATAGGGTCAGTTAGCTTGGTTTTCTGAACTGAGTGTAAAGATAGATAGATACCATTCCTGGGTATGTATTTCCCCCTATTAATATTTAAGCAACAGAAAGCTGCTGCAGAAAATGAAAATAGTCTGATAGTCTGCATCCACACTTTGGTTAGGAAAATACTTTCACTTCATACACAGAAGGCCTTTTATATTTGTAGCAGGGCTCATGTGTTTGTTCTCCATGGAAGTAATTTAATTTTTTTCCTCCTCTATTCTTTTTTTTTAACGATCTCAAATAAATGATTTCTGTCTCTTTCCTCTCTCAACTTTTCTGGTGGAGTCCTGGCCTTCTTACTAGCAAAGGTTTTGTGATTTTTTTTCAGGAACACAAGTATAGTTGAATACAAGATATTCTAACAAGATGCTTCCATTGTAACTAATAACAAGCAAACATAAATAAATGTCAGATATAAATGCTGACAATGACCAAACACATCCAAACACATGCCTCTGACAAAGGGGTTTAAAATGTTTTACTAAGGATAAGGATCCTTTTAGATCAGTTGCTGCCTTATCAGGAAGAACATCTTTATGATGAACACAGTATAAACTAAAAGGAATAAAAGAACAAGGAGACGCCAGTAAATATCAAATGGGCTCTGATAAAAAGAGTGCCTCAGGTCAATCTTACATGCACTTTCATGAGTATCTACAAGGAGACTCATCAACACTCTCCAGCTTGCCTTTGCTTCTTTTTTTTAATTTTCCACTTGAAAGTAGCAATATGATATGCTGAAAACAACTGAGCTCAGTTTCTACAAATCGAAGGTTTAAAATGTTTTACCCTATGTGTTCCTTGTCAATTCCTAGCAGATCATGGTACTACAAGTTTTCAAACACTGTAGGTTTTCATTTCCTGTCACAGTTCATATAACAACTTGGTGGCACCTTATATTCTGGAATGCCACATTTATTCCAAAAATTATGCTGTATTTCACCATAAATGTTCTCCCCAGTAAAAGCCTAACACCATCTCTCAGTAGAAAATATGACAGGACTGTTGAAATGACTCTTAAGGTTATCATAAACCAACATAAATCACTTCTTCAAGCATATGATATGTAGGAATTTCTTTCAAAATTTAATTTTTTTTCCTGCCACATGGAAAACAAAATACTCCGTATTTGTTGGCTTCACATTTTTCCCCTCAAAATACTACATAGATTTAAGATGCCATATAAAACCCATGAACATTAGTAATATCTACTTGACATCATAATTTCAGGGTTCTCAGGAAAAAAAAAAAGAAAATAAAAAAAAATTGAAGGAATGAAAAAATATAAAAAGAAACAGTAAACAAAGGAAAAAAAATAAAGAGAATTATTTCAGATTTGACAAATTCTAGTAATTCTCTTGACTTACCATGACCTTTCTTAAGGTATAGCGTTTGGATCTAATATCATCCATCAGCATTTCATAGGGTGTGAGTTGATATTCTATGGGGAGTGGGTTGTACTGACGCTCTTGAACCTTCTTAAGTTTGACACCATTCCGTAAATCTCGCATCACCTGTACCCAGAAACGAGCCTGAAGAGAGGAGAGCAAAATTTTATTTAATACCTTACCCTTGCATACCAACTAAGATTAAACTAAAGTTGCTCACTCCCCTTTCAGGACACCACCAAATATGTACAACTTTATCATTTTATTTTTAACACATCAACCAAATCCATTTTGTCCATGGTGACTTTAGGTAAGCCTATTTTTAACCCTGAATGTAACAGGACTCATGTATTTGTTCTCCGTATAGTAGTTCCAAATTCAACAAGGCCAAGTGCAAGGTCCTGCATCTGGGCTGGGACAATTCTAAACACAAATACAGGTCTAGCAATACCCTCTTGGTACTCAATTTGTTTTTTTGCTCTGCCTACCACATGCTAACATTTCCCTCTTATTACTGGGGAATGGGTAGAGAGGAGTAAGAACAGGTAGTAGACAGAAGATCAGGAAAATGAAATTAAGAACTTTTAAGAATGTCTTAATGTTCCTCTACATACTGGCCAAAAAAGTACATAGAAAACAATACAAGCTACTGACTGTTCTCTGTAGCATTTTTTCTTTCATCACTAAAGAAACTCAGCTGGTGGCTCTGCCTACTTCCTGGCTGCCTCTCTGAAGGGCAGTTAGCATGATACCTGTCTAAATGTCCAGCCTTTTAAATTGCAAAAGCTTCTACATGAAAGCTGAGTCTAAAGAAATAGTGTGATGCTTGGATACTTACATTATTTCATCTATCTGTGAAGGAAGGCTGAAATTCCATTTGGTACTAGCTTGTCATAATTTAGTACTAGTTCATATGTTAAAAAAAGAAACAACAAAATAAACACAAAAACAACCAACAGACACCAATTTTAACATAAACCAAACAACTTTAGGTAACCATTATAAAGAAATATAAATTGCTAATAATGGTGCTGAATCATTATTCAATTGTTGTCTTACCCAGTCAGCATTCTTTAAGTCATCAAGATCTGTACTGGATTCGTCACTTGCCTCTTTGTCCATTTCTTGAATCTTTTTCAGATTCTGCAATTGAAAAGAAAATTAGTCAATAAACTGAATGGTGGCATTACTTTACAGTAAAGCAGAAGCATTTTTTGAATGATGTTGTTTGGGTATTCTACTGAGTATTTTATATCTTGAATAGTAATACTGCAAAAAGAATTTGAAATACTATTTGAATATTTCTCTTAATTGAAAAATGGACCTTCATTACTGCAAAAAGTCTTAAGTTCTAAGTATGAGAATACTTCAGATAACAGCCTAATAGAAAAAACTATACACAGAAATTGTAATATGCCTACAGTTGAGCTACTATCTGAAAAAAAAAAAGTAGCAAGCTTGTTAAACTCCAACACAGAAAAGGTTACAGACTTAGCAAGAATCCATTCATAACAAAATTACTGCTACTTGCCAAATGCAAGACAGCTCCTTTTTGTTGAAGGAGAAATCCCCAGAAAGTCAGCTGCAAGGTGAAATCAACTATGAGAAATCCTTCAAACAGAATAGTGACAGACTTGCATTTATATTGACATTAAGCAGCCTGTATAACATAGTTTTATGATTTTATGACTCAGATCCCAAAATCTGTAAGTAAGGAAGAGAAACTGATCTGTCAGGAGTAAACTCTTATTTATGAACAAGATTAGATGATGCAAATATGGAAAAGATTGTTTACAAAGGGGGAAAACAAAGCTTTCATACTAACAAGAAGATGAAAAATGATCAAAAATTACAGTCAACTAAAGAACAGGCAAGCTTGTACACACACAAATGCAGGCAAAAATTAAATGGTTTGAGTGGCTTTGGAGAAACTACCTTAGACACAAAGAATTGCATATCCAAATGCTACTTTTACTTCTGTATTGAAATGTTCTGGGATCAGCAGTACAAATGCATTCTCAATACTCCATTCCACTTTTACAGAGGGTTTTCTGTAACAATGTTTAATTTGATCTGTTTTCTTGTTATTTATTAATATATTAAAAAGGGTAGTTAAATCTGCTAACGACTTCATTATTTTATGAGACTAAACCCACAGGCCAGAAGTCTGACAGAGTTTTATGTATTAATGTATTAAAAATATTTGTCTCACTTTTGATCGCTCAAGCTCTTCCTTTAATGGAACTGAACGAGTCTCAAACCTTGGAGCTTCCCAGAAAGCTTAAAAATAAGCATATTTGGTAAAACATTTTTTTCCTGCAAGTAGTTCCTAAACCGTAACCATTTCAATGGAAGAAATGCAAGCACTGGAAAAGTGCTTAACTCGCACACATAAAGGAGTGTATCTACCACATGTGCTAACAGAGACAGCACATGTGAGTCAGCCACCATGGAAGTTTTGGAAAAACAGCAGATGGATAATTTATTATCTTATTTAAGCAAGTAACACATTTGCTTTCACATCAGTGAAGAAATATTACCACTGCCCTATTAAAAAAAAAAATACATAATTTAGAGGAAGACTCTTAAAAAGTCATAAATCACCTATGCTGCAGAAGCACATCCATCATTGCACAATGAGGGCACATTTTGGCACAACTCGCAGTATTGCCGCAGGATGCCCAACTGGGAAAGAATGGTTGTATGGAAACTTGGGCTGGTCCTGCTGCTGTGGGAGTCTAACTCTAGCAAGCCGTAATCTTTTTCCAAGGGGAAAAAAAAAACAAACAAAAAACACAAAACCAAGTAACATGAAGGCCTCATTTATACCTATTTTGCCACCCCGTGTTTCTTCTTCTCTGTATCATTTTTGAAGTTGCAGTAGCCATTTCTATGATGGTATATGTGAACTGTGAGCTACCTGCTTTTGTGTGAACATCTAACCTTTACTAATAAATTGCAAAATACACAATTGTTCTGGTACTTTCTCCTTTTTCTCTTCTTAATCAAAAAATGATCTGCAGTAAATTAGCTCACAACTGTCAGAGTCGCTCCTCCTTTCCATACTGGGAGGTATGTATCAATTAAAAAAAAAAATTAACATGTTCCAGCTGCTTAACCTTTACTTTGACTGTCCAACAACATCTGCAGCAATTACCCCTTTCAGCAGCCATGCTCCCTACCATACACTTAACGGGGCTGGTTTATGCCCAAAGGCTGATGCCTTTGACTGATGTAAATATTCCATGAAGCTAAAAAGACTCCAACCTATTTTTCTTAACAACAAAAAATAAGAAGGGGAGGAAGGGGGGGGGGGAAGAACACACATAACTGAACAGCTGAAAGATCTTCTGAACAAGGCAGCCATCTAATTAGTTTCTCTGGAACATAGCTGGAGGGGGAGCTTCTACTTTAGAAAGCGCAGGTGTGGGTGCTGCTGGCTACCACACGCTCTAGAGCTGAGAGCCAAACCCACCAGCCACAAGGTACATTTCTCAAAGTGCCCTTTTTTGACACAAATGAGCTGGCATAAGCTCAGGATGCAGCCAAAGTGAGGGTCTGGGTGCTCTGGATGCTTCCTGAGCACTGACAGAGCCACTCACTCTGCCTGACAGGGAGTTGTGTAGGGAGGAAAATCTGCGGGGAAAACACTCATTTTTTTCATAGGAATAGTTTCTCCCCTACCCACAACTCAACTGGCTCAGACCCCTAACTGCAGCTCACCATAGATGATAGTTTCCACCACTATAAAATTGGGAAAGCTTTGGAAGACTGGGGAGAAAAAAGAAACAAAGTGCTTTATCCTTGCAGCCATGAATTAGGTGTCTTTGACTCTTCTCCATCTGCCAGGTGCTGCTTAGGAAGGAATCAATTCAGGGTGACAAATGATTGCATTTAAACTTCTGGACAAAATGAAATATTATAATTTCCCTCCAGCATCCCCAGTCAGTGTCCGTGGGTTTCAGAATCTGCTGCAATCGTAAATTATGGAAACCAAAACATTTACAATACAACAGACCGCTTGTCAGAACTGGGATCCAAAACCTATGAGTAACCTCAGCTGCTGTATCCATTTGTACGTACCCTTGGGACAATGGATTAAGGAAAGCTATTATGGTGTAATAAATACATAGCCTAAATGGGTTTCCTTTTCAGAAAGCAAAAACATCTTAAAAGGGTTTTTCTAAATGATCCCAGAACCTCAAACCCATACCACAGATCTGATTCACCTATTACAGCCTGGGCATATGTTCACGAAATAAGGGTCAGATGTGTAGGGAGCAAGCCTCTCAATAGCTCTGGCTTTTTTAAACCATTACAGCACTTGGCCATTTTTTCTTCAGCTTCATTTTGCGACAAATTCTAGTAACAGAAATAGTGAATTTCTTCAAATTTCTTCCTGCGCTATTAAAAGCAGGCAGCTGATTCGCTGCTGCCACGTGTCCCACATTTGTCCCACATTTGGGACGCGTTCTCCCGCGCCTGCGACAGATGGGAGGTTATATAAGACACTTGTCAGCACAGCGTCAGGAGCTTGCTTCCACAAAATGCTCCCTAAAATGCAACATTTTAGTGAAGATGGTATTTCAGGAATCCAGATCTTCACTTCATCTTTCACCGGTTTCAGGACAAAACCTACCGCAGCTCCTGCTTTACATTCTTGGTAATTTGGTCACTGATGCAAGTGATTCCTATGCTGGTATCTGGGAAACTAATAAAATTTTCTTGCACCTTTGTAGTCAATTTAAAAATGCATAACCTGCATATAGGGGAAAAAATGCTTTCATGTATACAACCATCCATTCTGAATTTAAATTCCAAGGGCTTGGCCAGCAGCATTACTTCAGTTCTTTGAAGATCCCCAAGCCCCCTTTAAGAGCAAGTTACCGTGCTGCTCAAAAAAAAACTATTAAAGAAGAGACAAAAACAAGCAAAAAACAAATGCATGGAACACTTGCAGAATTACAGTGGCTGCAACACACAACAAAACAAACAAAAAATCCCAGTATTTTCCCTCATTTGAAGGGTTGCCATTTAAATTGGTCCTAAATGGAGGGATCAAACAAATCACGATGGAGTTGCAAGCCTAATGACAACACAATTGTGAAAGTGGAGTCACTGGAAGCCTGGAAGTGGAAGCAGAGGCGAGGTTATTGGCAGAAAAAATTGGGAATCAGTTTCTCCAACTGTCCTTTCTGGAAATCCACTCAGCAGTGTGTTTAACAGCTATTATGGTCACAAGACTATTAAGAGTAACTTGGCTAGTGACCGTATTTGTGAAATAAGTTAGCCATTAACGTTATTTAGGTATCTATTAACTAAATACCCGTATAACCATATTTTGTACAAATAATACACCAGTATAGCCATGTTATATAAAAAGTAATTTACTTTTTTAATTAGCTGTTTTCCAGCTGAGTCTCTAGATGGTATGAAGATAGGGGAAAAGAAAAAAAAAAAAGTAGAAAGGAATGATTTCATTTCTATTTATGTACTTAATTAGACCTTGGAAGGTTTATGTTTTCATACAGGTCAGGTTGGAATATATCCAGACAGACTGAAAAAAATTAAGCTATTAGATTAGACAGGAAAGAAATCATAGGGGGCATTGTTTAAAAGATCAGTAAGATCAGTACAAAAATGACAGACTGAAGGCTTTTTCTGTATTCTACCAAAAACTTGGTTAATTAAAAGGCATACCGTGGATAATGAAATTATGGACAAGTTTTTGATGAACATGGACTTTAACTGCAATTGATGAGGTAGGCAATTATAAAACTATACACAATTTTATAGAGTTTGGAAGGAATATTAATTGTAACGCTCTAGGATATACATCCATTTCAACAAATTTTTGAGATACAAGTCAAACCTACTGCTGCAGATGAAGACATTTGCCTACAAGACAATGCCTGTATCTTATGGTGCCCAGCATCTCATGCTGTCTTTTAGGACCTGAGGTGGTACCAGTAGTGAGTTCAACACTCCCAGCCCACTCACGAATGCTTAGCTCTGCTGCAGGCTGACATCAGTATTTACTGGTACCGCTCGCAGGGTCCCAGCACAGCTGAGGCTGGCCGGGCCCTCTGGAGGCCCCCTGCCCCAGCCCCTGCCCCAGCAGGGCCACCCAGAGCAGGGTGCCCAGCACCACGGCCAGGCAGCTTCTGAAGGTCTCCATGAGGAGACCCCACGGCCTCTCTGGGCAGCCTGTGCCAGTGCTCGGCCACCCGCACAGCACACAAGTGCGGCCTGGGGCTCAGAGCCCAATTCACACACATTGAGATCCCCCCGAACCTCCTCTTCTCCAGGTTGAACAGTCCCACCTCGCTCAGCCTCTTTGCACTGGAGAAGGGCTACAGGCCCTTTACCACCTTCATGGCCCCTGCTGGGCTCTCTCCAGTGTGTCCTCATCTCTCTTGTGCTGCGGAGCCCAGAACTGGGCCCAGTACTCCAGGTGTGGCCTCACCAGTGCTGAGTGAAGGGGAAGGATCACCTCCCTTGACCTGTTGGCAGTGCTTTGCCAACTACAGCCCAGGGCACCATTGCCTACTTTGTGGCAAGGGCACATTGCTGGCCCCCTCAGGCAGTAAGCAGGTGTGGAGCATCCACCCCAGTGGGAAGAGAGCCTGGGCAGTAACAGGGAGCTGAAGGAGGACCAGGGTAGATACCGCCTCAATTAAGCAAGTTCACAAAGTGGCCAGCAGACCAAACAGATCCACGGTCCAACCCAGATCCAATACAATTTCTTTACTCCTGTGCTCGCACAGTCTCTCCCTGTTTCTCACAGTCATGCTCGCTGCTGTCTCCGAGCAACGTGTGAGACCTTTCCAGATACTCCACAACAGGAACATTTGTTTTATCTGGTGGACATCCCTCACTTCTGCCTATGGCTAGGGGCCAACAAAAATGATCTCAATGGCTTTTCGATGATCCTGAACAACATTAATCTTTTCTTTCAGATGAGGCTCATTTTAGCAGATATTCAAACTGTCTTTGCCTCACACACAGATACATTTCCTCCACCTTGTTGTCCACGTTTCCACACACACTATCCAAAACATAGGGCAAGATTCTGCTTTTGTGGAAGTCTGATAGTCATTTAAAAAGCTCACTACCTGAGATGAGAAACAAGCTGTACCCTATTTTTGCCATCAGCTATAAACATGAACTGCAGGACCATGGAGTCAGGAGGTCCTGGCCCATCAAAGACCACTTCTGGATGGCATCAGATGGTACACAGGGTGGATCTCTTTTCACAAAGCCCGAATAGCGTACAGATGCTGCCAGCAAGCTGAAAAGACACCCCACTACACTTTCTACAAAACCTTCATCTTGCAAAAAGATGCAAAGTTAGGTCAGATTAGTTAACTGAATTTCAGCCTGGAGTTGCTGCTATTCCCAATAAATATGTATTTTTACTCCTTTTATTCTTTATCATTTTTAAAAAATTATAACAGTAGTATTGCACCTTTCTCATCTCTGTCTTGAGCACTGCCCTGTACAACTACTTGACATAACATTTCTTTGTCTTTAAGAATGGAAATGTCGTCTGCCTGTCTGCAAGTCATCTCCACTGCTGACCTCTCACACACAGAGAATCAAACTGGAAATAAAATCCACATGGCACCAAGTATGTGACAAAGTGCCTGAGACATTATATTCGACATCCATTGAGATGACCTTAACAGCTCACTCATCGCTTCATCATTTCTGAGTAATGCACTCACCCAAGTACATGCCAGTAAAGCCCTTTCTGAAACTGTGCTCCATTTGCCAAGGCAGCGATGCTCACAGGACAGACTGGGGAGCACTACAGGCCTGTACCTCCTGCCTCCTGATCCATCCCTCGTAATTCCAGTAACCTTCAAAGCCCTGAAATGTTTTTATACAAACTGAAAACAGCATCACAGCAATAGTTTCTTCTGTCTCTTTCAAAGCGCGCTTTCCTGCTAAACCTGCCCTGGGCTGCAGCATAAGATCAGATTTGGTACAATCCTAGTAAATGAATTTCTGCAGATAAAAATTCTCCCTCTTCCACTACAGTGGCATTGGCTGTTTAAAGTGCCTACCGAGCAAAAAGCACGAGCTTTATATAGCTGGGGAACAGATACCCAGATACAACACAGTGGCCCCAGGAAGAGCCCAGGGAATTTTAAAGTTTTTTTTTTTTTTTTTTATTCATAGGAAAAGTTATTTTAAGCCATGTTTTTCATTTTGATCTCATAGCTACAACTAGGTCTGAGGGGTTCTAAGGCTCTCCAAATTAAGTTCTCAGTTTTTAAAATAAAGTTTAAAACTCCTGGTACCCTTAGGGTCACAGACACAATAGTACATGGTATAAGTTTGTGGTTTTAATTGGAGCTGATATATATAGGTAGTTTTTTCCCTAATTCTCCAACATTGCAATCACCATGAATCGATGACAATAAAATATCCTTACTAGAGTATTAAGTGTTTCTCTCCATTATACCCATACTCATATGACAATACAAAAGGAAAAGAAAAAGGATTTTATTAACTTGAATTTTATTTAACTGTATTCCTCATGAATTAAGACTCTTCTATGTATTTGAAAAAGCAAAACGTACATAATACCTCAGTTTTCACTGGTGCAAATCTAGCACGATTACATGATTCCTACTTGCCTCGAGTATAAACTATAGAGGTAATTTTAAAATGGAATAACAAGATTTACAGCATTCCAGCCTGTATTTGCTTCACACCTATTTTTCCTTTGTGTACTACATAATTTTCAAGAATCACATTGTTTTTGAATCTATAGTTAGATAAAAGCTGTAAGCAAGGATCAAGAATATCATAAAAACTATTTATATTCCAGAAGCTGCTTGTAAGATAATTTTCTTGGTCACTTCTTGTATGCCTGCTAGGGGACTGATCCAGGGTAAAATGAAATCAAATGATCAAAATTCTGGCTTCAGATAAGGGCAGTGATAAAAGTCTCATTGATTTCAGTAGGGCCAGAATTTCATCTACAAGGATTACTTCCTTTGACCTAAATGTGCTCTGAAACAATCCCTAATAGCCTTTGAGAGGCAAATGGTTCCTTTCATTTGAGATTAACTCATAGTATGCTCTATGGTGTTGTCAAATGCTGTGTTTTCATTTCCAATTACAAGATGATAAATAATCTGCAAATTCTAAAACACCCCTGTAATTATTTTAATAAATTGAAAAAAAATGTTTTAAAGAATCACAATATGCAATATTTTACTTCAACATTGACAGCACTGACATCTTATTACTGCTTACTGCAGTCAAAATGTTTATGGACTACTGGAAATGTAGTTCCTCTCTAGGCAGAAACAAGAACTCCAAAGGGCCTTATCTTTGAGCTTCAGCGTGGACCTTGCACTAGCTGTTAGCTGAAGTGTTTATAGCACAGATCCTTCAATTATCCAGCGGTCGGAACACCAAGGAGCAGTCAAATGCCAAGATGTGAAACTAATGATGTCAAGGTTTTAGCACCGAGACGCTGCATTCTGTCAGCTCTCTGCGTCAGCTGCACTGTAATGCAGGCGCTTCAGAAAACAAGAGGCTCTTTAGCCATGCTGACACCGTCAAAATTATCTGTGTATGATACCACTTCAGTTTAGAAATTGCTTTCAGTTTGAGTAGGGCTGGAGGAAAAATGGAAGTGAAGCTTGACCCTGGGCAACAGAAAACCATCTCTGAAGGATTCGGCTCCTTGGACAGATGCATCTCTGAAGAGGAGGAAAGACAGCAGCAGTCTCTTATGCCTCCAACTGGTTTGCATCTTCCACCAGTGCAACAACAGAGCTCTCTTGTGCTGCGCTGAAGCACACCTGACCCAATGATGAGCTGATTCAGCTCATGAACCTGACAAGAAAGCCTTGGTTATTATTTTTAATTCATTTCTTTATTTTGTGTTTGTTTTCTAGAATCAGAGGAAGTAAAGCAGTGGGAGCACGTATGAATGTGTGGAACAGCTCTGTCTCTTTCAGTAGCAAAATTGTTACATCAGCCTATAAAATCTTTTCAAAAGGCACTTTAGACCTTAGAGAAGCAAATCAAATCTTTCAGGTCTTTATTAAAAAGGAAAATTATGAAAGTGCTGTTATTTGACCGGTTGACTTTGATGAAGAAACCATCCTTGAGAACTATCGCTCCCTTCCTGCCCTCACCCATGGGTTTTCCAGTGTAACCAACACCCACACTGTGTTAATACAACTGTTGATGGAGCTACTTTGCAGACCAGATCACTGAAACTATCTTCATTAAAACTAATTCCACCCACCCTCAAAGTTATTCTTCAGCCAGATCGTTTAATTGAAGTGGTTCATAGGATGGCCTTTCGGTCAACAGGACAACCAAGCAGGCAGTGAACACAGACACCATGACCTACAGGTGGAATTGTTTATGTATTTATTTATTTTAAGCTGGCTCTGCTGTGAAGCCTGTGCGACTGACAAACAAGCCAATCATACATCAAAGGCAAGGAAAGCTGCTGACTGAGGACAAATTACGAGCAAGGAGAATCTCAGATAATTCTCAGCCAAAGACAAGGCATGAGAAGGAACTGAGGAAGGACAGGGAAAGCTCTGATAGTTCACAACACCAGAGCAGTTTTCAGACTCAAATACATTGCTTGCATGCATGCATGTTGGAATGGAATAGTACTGCATAACATCCCAAGAAATTTTTCTGTTTTCCTTCCAAATAGTCTAGTCACAATTAATAACTATTTCTGAGACATCTGTAAATGGTTACAGGCCAAATGAGAAAACAAAATGCAAACAACACAGCTGTAGAACTACTCTCCCTGAACACGACAAATAATTTCCCCACGTATCTGACATCCACTGCTGGCTGGGTATGGAAGTGATTCTGTAAGCCTAAAACACATTGTAACAGATTTAAAAACTTACCTCTTTTGCACTTTTAATTTTGGCCAAGAAAGTGTACAGCTCCATTGTTTCAGCAAACAGAGCCCGACATACTGCTTGATAGTGGTTCGCTGCCTCTGATCGGGTTGGCAGGTGGGCAGCACACAGCTAGAGAGAAAAATAAACAGCAATTACAAACAATCCCTCATTGCCTTAATTATTGCTGCAGAGCATGAGATAACATGAAAGGGAACACAATGGGATATTTAAGGCACAAAAATCCATGAACAATGTTTAAGCTTAGGTGGAAATTGGGGTGCACTTTTTAATTTTTCTGTTCCCATTTATTTTATATTCATGAGTTTCATTAAGAGAACTGTAATAGAATAGATCAGCACTGATGCTGGTAGACGTAATCTTTTGCTTACAACATCCCCTAAGTCATATCCATCGCTTGTAGGTATTCTTCACAGAAATCTTTGCTGGAAACAGACAGAACCAAAATAATGTCTATAATCAATTTGCTAAAGTCTTAATACCAAAAAACTCCCAATACCAAAACTAAAAAACTGTGTCATGTATCATACTGGGGTATATATTAAAATACAACAAAATCTTAAACAAGGCTTTAAAATGTGCCTCATTACTGTGGTTTCATAACAGCTGAAGCTAAAACAATGATCAAGCCAGAACCTGAGGAAATGGGTGGCTACACTGAGAAGATCTCCAGAAGTAAGGCTTGAAACAAAAGCCTCTTTAGAGAAGAGCCCTTAATTAGCCTAGTGGCATATTTCTCTAAATCTCTCCTGCATTACACTGTACACTGTGGTCACAAAGGGCACAATATCAGTAAAGCTCAGACTGCATTTCCATATTGTTTCCCATCTGATTTAGATCCACACTGACACTACAAGGCATGATCCTGAGGCCTCTGGCCACAGGCTCCCACTGATGCCCTTATGCTGGCAATTGAGTTTGTGCCCTAACACAGAGGGGACTCCTCACCCAGGCAAAAATTTATCACAGTGAAGGAAGCAGGGCAGGGGAGAGTTATTCTTCATGGCTCAGACGCATGTGCAGTAGCGCAGGCAAAAAGGAGCAATGGGAACACCCTGCCGAAACAGGGAGCGAGAGGGGAAGGGAGGATGGGCTGAACAATTTCTTTGGGTTGCAGTCACATTTAGATTGGCTTAATCTCACTGACAAATTGCTTTCTAAGGCCACAACCTCTTTGTTGTTTTTGATTTCCTCCAATTAGTGTAACAATACGGAGTCCGACGGTCAGATTTGATCAACTCGATAAAATTTCACAAGCACCATCTGGACTCCTGCAATATCCTGCTCTGATTGTTGTAACCACGTGTGTACGTATATTAAATCCTTTTAGCTCTAAAAAAAGGATCTACATATACATATATATGGAAAGTGTATGTATATATTTTTTCCTTCCTTCCCATATACTTTCCTTATATCTAAGGATATAAGGATTATTCTTATATCCTTAGATCTAAGACTATCTTAGATCTAAGGATGTAAGTATAAGGTTTTCCTTATATGCAAGGAAAGTAAGACAGACATTCAAAATCTACCCTCAATTCACCGCTTTCAAATTTTATACTGCTTTCTGATGACAGCCAACATTTTGTTACACACTTCATATTTATTTCTGGGTAATCAGAGTGGCAAAGTTCACATTTTTCAATTACTTTTTTTTAGCAAATCGTATCTTCTCCTTTGCAGGTAAAGGGAGAAACGATGAAAGAGACGTGTCTCCAATGTGTGCTACAGTAACAACACCTACCACAAAGAGAGAAGCTGTTAGGTATTTCCCTTGACCTAATGAAAAGTCAGAATTATACTTCATTAAAACACATCAAAATCAGAGTATGGTTAATTCGTGTTCCTTTCTCTCAATAACTAATCAGGTCCTTACCTGCCTTACTATGTTTGGGTAAGCTATTTCTAGTTATTAACTGCAGCATGGATAAAAAGGATTTCATTCTACAATACACCACTTACAGGAATAATAATAATAACTATAATGGGCTAATAACAACAGCAATTTCAAAAAAGTCCTCAAATGGCACAAGTCTTCATCAGAAAGAATAAAACTTCATTATTCAGATTGCAGATAGGTTTTTAAGAATGCCTTTTTTCTTTATTTAGAAGCATGTTAATTAGAAACAATTTGCATCAAATATTCAGCAAGTTAATGAAATGCAGCAGTGGCAAGTTCAAGCAGGGGATGGATATAATCATGATTCTATGATTGAACGTGAAGTAAAGCAAAAAATAAAATTAAATGCCTGCTGCAAAAGCTACCAGAAACATAACCACATAAGAAATCAACCATTTGGTTTGTAATCATTCGGATACAGGTATGAAAAGAGGCCCAGTAGCTCCTGCTAACTTTCATGTTGTAAAAAATCAGTATCTGAGTGATCTTAGATCATGTGAAGACGCACTACATAACAAAAAGCAACACCCTTGTGGTAACATTAAATGACTTAGCATAATTTTTTGGATAGCGGAAGGTGAGCCTGAAGAAGAAGGAAAATGCAAATAAGCCAGACTGATTTTTCTTCCCTGGGATCTATTCCACTGGCATTTTGTTCAGAAGTAAAAATGTAGGCAGTCAAGGCACACCAAGTGTGAAACGTGATGTTTCTAGCCTAAGTTTAGCGTATTTATCCCCCCGTGCTTTTTTAAATCACATCTTTAATTTGGTATTAGCAGTGTCTGAGAAGCTGTGTTTCTGAAATGCACCACAAAAATCAGTCAGAATGCTTTAATACCTGAGGTAGGAAAGCACAGGCACCTAAGGAGCTCCTCCTCCTCTTACCGTGTCATAGCAGCCGTGGTGCAGGACTGCAGGTCTGCGGTCTTTTCCAGCCATTCAACGCTCGTCAAGGAAAGGCAGCCTCTGTACCCTGCTTATTCTGACACTTGCCTGTTCATCCCTCCTGATACAACCTAAAACTATCCTACGGGGAATGAACGCGACCAGCACCCAGAGCGTAACACAAGGACTGCTTGTTCTGCTTCCAACAAGTCTGACACAGCATGGGTGAAATCCAATGATGTGGTCTTTGCAAACTGGTGGAATATCAAAAATATTGGCAACTGCTGAAATGGGTCGCTCTGTAATATTTCCATTTGTAATCACTGTGAAGAACTGGGACTTTTTTTTTTCTTTTTCCTTTTTTCCCTTAACTAAGCCTATCCAAAAACCAGCTTGACCCAAACCATTCAATCTTTGCTTAGATCACTAAGAAGATTAGAGACTGTTTCCATCCACATTCAGGGTTCACAGAAAAAAGGCATTATGTAAATACCGGAGCCTTGCCAGCTCCTCTGTCCAAATTCACCCTCAATTGACTAGGAAACAGAGCGCATCAAGCCAAACCAGCGTTAACAGAAATCACAATTTAACCATCAGAAGAGATCAAACAGCGTTTCTTGGATGCATTTCAACATTAGGGACCACATAAAATTACAATGCATTCTCACAGCAGACTCATCCACTAAAATCCAGGTAGGTTTTGCAAAACCTTCTATTTGGCTCAATATATGCTGCAAACTTTACCCAAACACCTGGCTTTTTGGAATTCAGATTTTAGAAGACAAACAGTGTTTCCACTTGCAATCATCTCGGGCAGAGTGCCTGAATGAATGTGCCACAGAGAATAAAAGGATCTCTTTTTTTTTCCCATGGGACACAAAGGCAAGCTATTGATATTATGCAAAACGCACTACCAGGCTGCAAATGCCAGGCTTGTTAAATGATTTTAAAGCCCTGGAGTATTAACATAAGACTTAAAAAACAATCTTTTTTCTTAACCAACTAGAAGAAATGACTTGTAACCAACAGATCACTGAACATGCAACTGGACTGAGCATCGGCCTCATCCTCTGCAGCACTGCGCTGCAGCAGGCTCCAAGAATAAAACTCAGCTTGAGATTGTCCTCCCAGCTCAAGGTTACTTTCAGAAAGATTTTGTCTCCGTGCACATGAACTAGACCTCATGATTATTTTGGGGTAGTGATTTGTTTTGTTTTAAAAAAATAATATATATATATATATATATGTAATTTTATTCCTATTAATGTGAACTTCAAGGAGCATCAAAGCCTGGCACTGAAAAGCAGACAATCTTGCTTGAAACAACACCTGTGTATTTGTACAAGTCAACCTAGCACTTGTTTAGTTTATTATCCAGAATAAAGTTACAGGGATGGACTGTTCAGAGCACCTAGACGTGGTTTGACAGGAGTCTGGAAGATGGTCCTGCCTGCTACAACCACACTTGTGCTTTGTACAAGGGACTTTTGCTCAGTGCTAGTTTTGAGGCAGGTTTCACAGGACCTGGAGGGAGCCACTCACCTTCCTGCTGCTCTCCCAAGCTTTCTGGGCAGAGATTTGCCCCTGGCTCCACGGCTTATAACTGCAGTGGGCCAAGAATGAGCTGATCCCTGAGGTACTGCGATAAAGGACTTCAGGGGAAGACTAATGAGGTAAGACTGTGGTAATGCAAAAGGAATGGGAGCAGAGTCAGCTATTAATCCACGAAATCAATGAACAAATTCACGGAAAGTACAGAAAGTATTCAGAGAAAGTTACGATTCCTGTAAAGCTGCCTTCAGAGCCCTTTGTGAATTTTACACAGATCTTTCAAATGATCAGTCGCAAGAGCAGTGGAATGTCCAATTGCTCAACGTGTGAGTTCCTAATTAATTTCACACCTCAAGGAAGAGGCAATTTGTGAAAAGTGATGCAAATAGCTACTGTTTGTGGTGTCAAGCAGACCTACCTCATTATTGAAGTGCTCCCTAGCAATCCGGTAAGGCTTTCCCCTCACGCGGGGATTTGTTGTTTTCCATTTCTTCCATTGCTTTGAGGTGGACAAGAGAAAAAACGTGTAGTGCTTAACAGCTCTGTTGCACACGATCAGAAGTCAGTCCTCCCCATAATATGGCCTATCATACACATTTTCACCTCAGTGATTTTTCTAATATGAAAAACTAAATGAACCACCAAAGCGACTGCACTTAACAATAACAGGTACAGCTTGACTAAATAATGGCCTGCCTTGGTTCCCTCTTGCAGGATCATAAAAAGAGGAAAAAACATAGCAACTGAAATGCAAATCAAAACTGCACGTGGGAAT